CCCAGAGGACCCATCTGTGTAAGCGGTGTTTCTCTCTATTAAAAGACATTCTGCACCTCACTGAGTCACAGGCAGGACACCTTGAGCAGAAAGCCTTCTTCAATGACACATGTGTGAGAGACTTCTGTGCAAACCCTCACCAGCAAGAGAGGGAAGCCAGTGGTGAGAAGCCCTGGAAAGAAGCTGTGGACAGGGCCTCGTTTGTGACCAGGTGCAGCTTCTACTTATCAGGGCTGCCTTCATCCAGTAGGGAGGGTGGGGAAGACTTGCCAGCCATCTCAGAGCGTCTCGAGCACCAGGCCCCTCTCGACACCAAGGAGTCACACAGTGGCAGTGAGATTTCCCTGAAACATCGCAGTGGAAAACATCATAACCAGTGGGGTCATTGGGAAAATGCTGCCAGCCACAACCAGAAAGTTGTTAAACAGAGCATCTGCTCTGGTGAAGTGAATAATGATTGGAACAAATCCGGAAATATTTTTAGAGGAAGCTTTAGCCTCATTCAACATGGGATAGTTGACACTGAAGAAAAGCCATATGAATGTAGTGATTGTGGAAAGGTCTTCAGATGGAAGACTAACCTCAATCGACACCACAGACTTCACACTGGAGAAAAGCCGCATGAGTGTAGTGATAGTGGGAAGTCATTCAGGCATATCTCTGTTCTTAATCAGCACCAGAGAGTTCACACTGGGGAAAAGCCATATGAGTGTGCTGATTGTGGCAAGACTTTCAGTCTTAGGTACAAACTCACTGAACACCAGAGAGTCCACACTGGAGAAAAACCTTATGAGTGCAGTGAATGTAGGCAGTCATTTAGACAAAGGTGTACGCTTACTAAGCACCAGAGAGTTCACACTGGAGAAAAACCTTATGAGTGCAGTGAATGTAGGCAGTCCTTTAGAGGAAGGTGTACCCTCACTGAACACCAGAGAATTCACACTGGAGAAAAACCTTATAAGTGCAGTGATTGTGGGAAATCTTTTAGATGCCATGGTCACCTTTTTAAACACAGGAGAAGTCACAGTGGAGAAAAACCTTATCAGTGTAGTGAATGTGGGAAGTCCTTCAGAGAAAGGGGTATCCTTAATACGCACCAGAGAGTTCACACTGGAGAAAAACCTTATGAGTGCAGTGAATGTGGGAAATCCTTTAGAAGAAGGAGTAACCTCAGCGAACACAGGATAGTTCACACTGAAGAAAAACCGTATGAGTGTAGTGAATGTGGGCAGTCATTCAGACGAAGGCGTACCCTCACTGAACACCAAAGAATTCACACTGGAGAAAAACCATATGAATGCAGTGAATGTGGGAAATCTTTTAGATGCTATAGTCAGCTTTTTAAGCACAAGAGAGTTCACACAGGAGAAAGGCTTCATGAGTGTAGTGAATGTGAGAAACGTTTTAGCCGAAAATTGAACTTCCTTAAACACCTGATTGTTCACAATGGAGAAAAGCTTTAAATGTGTTCCAAATACATTCTTTTTCTCACTGACAATAACAACACTGAAGGGGACCCTTTGATACACATTTAACAGAACATAAACCCCTTTTATCACAACATGCACTCCCCTAGATTGCTCATGAAATTTCAAGTATAAGTGATGCTTTAAATAACTGCATGGCACTTGCTAAGCTGCTCGGGCCTACCACCCGATTGAAATCACTGGGAGTATTCCTGGCTGAGGCGATTTCACCTCCACCACCTGGCTCACCTGAACAGGGTGCCTCAGTCACAGCCCCTGCGTGGTCAGGGAAAAGGAATTCTGTGTTCTCAGCTCGGCCTGAGCAAACTGTGATTCCTCCAAGCTCATGGCAGGATCTTCATTCCTTTCTGACTAGGAAATTGAGTTGATTGAGGGTTCATCCAGTGCACCCATCCTCAGCTAAGAAGAGCTACCTCTCTCAGGATATCACCTTATGCTGTGATGAATTGTTTCAGGTTCCAGTTCACCAACCTGCAAACCCATTGAATTTTCTAACAAGTCTCGGGATTATGATCTTTTTGTCCAGGTGCTTTTGCTCATGTACTAGTACCTTTCATTTTGTGGGTCCTATGCATTGCCTGGATTGATTAGAAAGCACACTTGGGATCTGTCCCCATGTACAGGGGCACAGATATTGTGGGAATCCCCAACCTGCTGTGCTCCCGAAGGCAAAGCCTGGAGTCAGAAAATCACTTTGTCCCGTATTCCCTTGTAGTGCAATGCTGCCCAAGACCTGGAAAGAAAGCCGGCATGACTTGGTGGTTCTCATTTGCAGCCTGGTGCCTCCTATGATTGCGGTCTGAGGTCATCCTGAAGATGGGGGTGAGAGGGCTTTGTTGTGCTTCTGTGAACAATGTGAATTATATTCTCCGTTCACAGTGTGTATTACATACTGTCAAGGTGCCCTGTGCCGTTATAAATGACATTTCATAGGCTGGTGTCGCTTGTATTGAGACTCTGAGGGTTAGGTTGAACTACAACTGGGTCAGAAACCCTGTATTCATAGTGAGTGGGAAAGAGTGAAGAGAATTATTGAATCACACCTCTTCTGAACATTACCCACAAATGACCAAGGACTTGTGACTTGTGTGGTCATTGTGAACAGGCGTCCTCAGTTCCTCCATCACTGTTTTTTGTGGCTAAAGTCATTTTTCTAAATAATAATCTAAAGGGTCTGTTTCCTCTTCTGGCCTCTCTACGGTGTTCACCTCAAGGTTTGCTCAATAGGCAAGACCTCAAAGCTAGAGGAATTGTGATTCTGTAGTCAGTCCCAGGATGTGGCATTTGTGACCCAGTCAGCATTCCTGTTGATTCTCATGGCCATAGTCTTCTCTGCTTGACAGTATTTGCTCCCACTGAGGCAAGGCTGGTGCTCCCAGAAAATCAGGAGATAGATGGTATAGCCCATATAGGGTTGTCATTTTAATTTTCTAACCAGACAGGGATATCTGGGCCTTTATTTGGAAGCACATTTTGAGGTTTTATTTAGGTATATTTGTACTATTTGGTGAGCTGGGACATAGGGATCAAGCTCTAAAACGGTCACATGTGACATAAACTTATCTCTCACCTGTATACAGGTTCAGGCAAAACCAGGCATATAGATGTGAATATGCAAAACAAAGATTTAACTCTCTATTTTTCTAAATAAGAATTTACATATTTAACAATATTTTTAACAACTTTTCACAAAGAGAGGAAGGGAGAGAGAGAGAGAGAGAGAGAGAGAGAGAGAGAGAGAGAAATGGTGAGATTAGAAAGAAACATCAAACAGCTGCCTCCTGCACATCACCTACAGGGCATCCAGGCAGGCATGTGCCTTGAGCTGGAATGGAACCAGTGACCTTTTAGGGCAACGGATGGTGCTCAAACACCTGACGCTCACTGGCCAGGGAAGAGTTTCTTCTTGTATTTTATTATTTTTAAATTATTGTGTAATTTCCAGCCAACAGCTCTACACCTACTTGTGACACACCCTGTAGTTACCTCCTGCCCTTTTGTAATTTTTCCTTCTGCCTTCCCCAGCCCTAAATGCAGTCATTGATTTTCCCTCCTTACAAGAGTAGTTAATATTTTTTAAGATTATTCATATTTTTCATAATTTCATAAGCACTATGAGGGGTATAGAAATATTGCTTTCCTTCATGCTACACAGTTATTTTGAGATTCGACACGAATGCTTCTGTGAATAGTTAATTATTTTTTATGGCTGAGTCATACTGTGTTCTGTGAATAACCAGTTTACCTATTATTGATCTGTCTATGGTTTTAGTGATTTCCAGGTTTGGGATATTAAAAATAAATCTGCTGGGAATATTGCCTTCAGTTATTTCTATAGAGGTATGTTTTACTTATCAAAGTGATGCAGTGTAGGCGAATATTTTACCTGTTAGTATATGCAGAACTGTGTTCTAAAATTGTCATTCCCTTTTCCTTCCCACCCACCCACCGACAGTAATGAAAATTCTAGTTTTTCTACAACCCTGCTAGCACATGTGATGTTTAATCTTTTTGATTTTAGGCCGAGAAATGATATGCTTTTAACTTGTTTTGTTTTAATTCCATTTCCCTAATAAATTTATATGGTGAACGTTTTTTCAAGCAATTATTTACACTGTCTTTATCTCTTTTGTTGAAAACTCTGGTCAGAATCTGTTGCTAGTTTTTTAATTTAATTTATTATTTTAACCAATAGGAGTTTCGTACAGCAACAAGGACATATGTTTTCATTTCACTCATTGTTCAAGGACTCAACTGACTTCTTTGCAATTTTGAACCACACTGAGTGGTCAGATTATTATGACTGGCCAGATTATTATGACCACCCCATCAGTACTTCAGTGACACTTCCAAAAATAGTGCATATTGAAAACTTCCTAAGCAAATACTCTCAAGGTTTTATTATTATTATTATTACTAGAGGCCCAGTGCATGAATTCGTGCACGGGTGGGGTCCAGTTGGCCCACCCTGATGCAGGGGATGGGGTTGGCAATTGGGCTGGGCAGGCTGGGGTAAAGGGCTGCGGGTATTTGGCCGGCCGGCCCCACCCCGTGGTCGAACTCCCCGTCAAACTCCTGGTCAAGGGGACAATGTGCATATTTGCCTTTTATTACCTAGGATTATTTGCATAACTAATTCACTTCATTGTACTCATGGGGTGGTCATAATAATCAGGTGGATCATAATAAACTGGCCACTCAGTGTATACGTTTTGAATTCTGCAAACAAAATTGTTTTTCAGAGAAGACCAAGATGGCGGCAAAGGTAAGCACCGGAGACTGCTGCCGCAAACAACCACTTCAACAATACAACTAAAAGATGGAACGGACATCACCCAGAACCACAGGAAGGCTGGCTGAGGAGAGACTCTTCAACTAGAAGGAAAGACAGCAGCGTGCCGAGGCTCAGAGGAGGCGTAGTGTGGAAAATTTAAAGGTGGGGAGGTGCACGCGCAGGGCGGGCTGGTGGCTGAGGGCACGGTTGTCGTTTTCGGTCAGGAGTGAGTCTCAGACCCTGGGCTCCAGATCCGGGTGAGTCTCTAGGGACTCAGACTCAGACAGGAGAAGCGGGATTGTCCGGCATCAGTTGGAACCTCAGGGCAGCTTTCTCTCCGAGGTTTGCAGCGGCTGCCGGGGTTCTGAGAAGCAGACCCTCTGGGAACAGGACTGAGAGCATCCATAACTGTTCCCTCCGCCTGCCCCGTTGATCCCGCCCCGCCCAAGCCCTGCGCAGAGCCATTTGCCGGATCGCCTCAGGCAAAGGCTAGATTAGCACCTCCCCAGAGGACAGAAGTTTTCCCACAGCTGATTCTCACAGCCAGTCGGCCTGGTGGTCAAATCCCTCTAGTATTAACTACAACAATCAAGGCTTAACTAGAACAAGACTGCGCACAAAGACCACAAGGGGGTGCACCAAAAAAGCATAAAAAATGCGGAGACAAAAAAACATGACAGAAATGGAGGATATGGAGCTAAAAAACGCAATTTTGAGGGCTTGCAATAAACTTGAGGAGAGCCTCACAAAAACTAATGAGACCCTCGATGCTATGATAAAGAAACAACTAGAAATTAAGCATACACGGACTGAAATAAAGAATATTATACCCAATAGCAGACCAGAGGAGCACAAGAATCAAGCCGACGATTTGAAATGCGAAGAAGCAAAAAACACCCAACTGGAAAAGCAAAATGAAAAGAGAATCCGAAAATACGAAGATAGTGTAAGGAGCCTCTGGGACAGCTTCAAGCGCACTAATATCAGAATTATCGGGGTGCCAGAAGATGAGAGACAGCAAGATATTGAAAACCTATTTGAAGAAATAATGACAGAAAACTTCCCCCACCTGGTGAAAAAATGGACTTACAGGTCCAAGAAGCTCAGAGAACCCCAAACAAAAGGAATCCAAAGAGGACCACACCAAGACACATCATAATTAAAATGCCAAGAGCAAAAGACAAAGAGAGAATCTTAAAAGCAGCAAGAAAAAGAGACTCAATTACCTACAAGGGAATACCCATACGACTGTCAGCTGATTTCTCAACAGAAACTTTGCAGGCCAGAAGGGAATGGCAAGAAATATTCAAAGTGCTGAATACCAAGAACCTACAACCAAGAGTACTTTATCCAGCAAAGCTATCATTCAGAATTGAAGGTCAGATAAAGAGCTTCACAGATAAGGAAAAGCTAAAGGAATTCATCACCACTAAACCAGTATTATACGAAATGCTGAAAGGTATCCTTTAAGAAGAGGAAGAAGAAAAAGGTAAAGATACAAATTGTGAACAACAAACATGCATCTATCAACAAGTGAATCTAAGAATCAAGTGAATAAATAATCTGATGTACAGAAAGAACTGGTGATTATAATGAATCAGGGACA